CTGTGAGCCAGGCGCCTCCTCTGCCTCCCCTCTCCACCACCGCCACTGCTGATGTGTCCACACCGTGCAAGGTTCTCACCTTGTTCGGGCTGAGTCGATGTAGAGGAGGACCAGCCAGCGAGCCGCCGCTTCAGCAGCGACGGTGGCCGCGAGCGGGAATCCGAATCAGCCGCCCGCCACCCACAATGCACAGCGCTGCCTCCACTCGCCCCAGCCTCGGCGGGGGGAGGGGGAGAGGGGGCGGGGGAGAGGGGGCGGGGGAGAGGGGGCGGGGGGAGGGGCGGGGGAGAGGGGGCGGGGGGAGGGGCGGGGGAGAGGGGGCGGGGGAGAGGGGGCGGGGGGAGGGGCGGGGGAGAGGGGGCGGGGGAGAGGGGGCGGGGCGAGGGGCGGGGGAGAGGGGGCGGGGCGAGGGGCGGGGGAGAGGGGGCGGGGGGAGGGGAGGGGGAGAGGGGGCGGGGCGAGGGGGTGGGCATGGGGGGGGGGCGGGGCGAGGGGCTCAGGGCTCCACGTCTCGGTGGGCGTGGTCACCTGGTACCGCCCCCTCGTCTCGAGCCACGCGCTTCCCCCTGGCAGTTGGTCCGTGAGAGAGGCGGGGAGAAACTCTGGCGAAGGTGAGGAGTGGATCCTCGCTGTGGGTGGGTGGTGCGGTGGTGTGAGTCTGTGTTTGTGTGAGTCCGTGTGTGTTTGCATCCGTGTGTGAGTCTGTGTGTGTGTGGAGTGGTTAACGCGCTGCGCTATGAACCCGGTGACCCAGAATTGGATTCCCGCTCAAGGTCAACACCAGTGACGATTATATGAACCGGTCCTGGGCCTCCCCTAGGTCGACTCAGCCTCAAATGAGTACCTGGTGTGGTGTGTAAATATCGCCACTCGGAGACAAAGGCGGCCGGGCGCGGTGTTGGCCACCCACGCCCTCGTGTGCTGTTCCGGCCTTCATAGGTGATGCTGGCTAACAGCACTTGCCCCAACAGTTTATTTCAGCTATAAGGAGGATATTTATATTTGTTGTTCGTGGTGGTGTTGTTGGTGGTGTTGATGGTGGTGGTGTTGATGGTGGTGTTGATGGTGGTGTTGATGGTGGTGTTGTTGGTGTTGATGGTGGTGCTGTTGGTGTTGTTGGCGGTGGTGCTGTTGGTGTTGTTGGTGGTGCTGGTGACGGTGTTGATGATGGTGATATTCTTGTTGGTGGTGGTACTGGTGTTGTTGGTGGTGATGTTGATGGTGTTAGTGGTGTTGGTGGTGGTGTCGGTGGTGGTTCCAACGAGCCATCCTGGGTTTAACCTAGCTGGATTGTGTGAGGAGCTCACAAATCCTTGAAGGATCTGGACACATTCCCACCAGTAAGCTCCTCCGGCAGGCAAGGCTGCGTTGGCTGGGTCTTGCAGCCCGCATACCCAAGCAGTTTCTTTTTGGCCGCATAAAGGGGGCTAAACGGCCACGACATGGGCTGTCGAAAATATGGACTGATGCTGTATGGGAGGATATTGAGTTGAGTAGACTTGTGAAAGACTGGTACCAGCGGTGTAAATAGCATCATTCACGAGGAAGCTCGTGAAGGAGGCTACTGGACAGTTGGAGGCAGACTGCCTCCTACAACAACTGAGGGCAGAGGAGTGACGCTCACAACGAGTGGCGGATAAAATTCGGTAAGTTGTCACAGTTGTGCATACAGCTGGTGTATCTACCAATCATCTCAGCCAACCTTTGGAACTTGGGTCTGTCTCGTGACGTCTTGTCAGCGAGCCTTCGACACGTCGTGTGGCCTGAAAGTGCACCTGGCCTGGCAAAGGCGCCGTGGTGACATCATCGCTACTAAGTGGCGAATGTCGGTTGTTGTTTTTGTGTTTCGTGTTGTGAGTGATTGGTGATGATGTGAGTCTGTGTTGATGATGTGGGTTCATGGTGTGAGTCCGCATTGTGACTTGACTCGTGTTGAGATGTGGGTGCCGTCACACCCCCTCGACTCTATGTGATCCTCGGCTTCGTCTCCTGCTTCGCACACAGAGACCTGGACTGCGCGAGAGACGCTGTTAGTTCTGTGCACCCTGCTCTGCAATTGGCCACCATGGAGGTACGTGTGGCTCTACGACTCGTGTGGTGAAGTATTAATGGACGTGTGCTCTCCACTCCGCGTGTGGCTACCTGTCACCTATCCATACACCTAAGTGTGCATCTGCTTGGCTGCCTGAGTGTGTGTGCATCTATCAGAGTATCTCCCCAAGATCCTCTCTGTGTACCTGCCTTTCTACGTTTTAATAATCTACTGTACTTTTATCTATCCACTACTGGATGAAGACCTCCTTCCTTGAGACCCTGCTACCCCTCACGATCATGCGATGGAATAATCCACCAAGCACCGATTTTGTCGCTCCATCTTTCTAGCAGCCGTCCTCTCAGACGTGTTCCGATACTTGGCTGCACCTCCGTTATTGTTCTTGACCATCAGCCATCGTTGTTCCTCGTGGCCGTGGCATGTCCTGGCCCAGCCCTACTTCTCTTAACAGTTTGAAGGATGCCATTAACCTGCGTGTGTCCTTTAAATACACACGTGTCTCATTGTTAATCCAAGTGTGACATCTGACATTGGCCAAATATCCGAACGCTGAGAACTGACATCTCAGCAGGACCCTCCTGAATGTGGAGCCCAGGATCTCAGAGATCCTGGCTCAGTGCTCGCCGCTTGCACTATCCCCCACATCTTGCTAAAGCCTATGTGGTGGACCTTTGTCTTTGAGTGTGTGTAGATGAGCCAATCTGGAGAGGCGAGGAATGAGGGCGAATTTTGTACCACGTGGAGGGCGCTGTCCTCAGAGGGCACCGCCTCCATCTGCATCAAATCACCGCAAGGTAAGAACAGGAATGAGGGATGTCACAGAGGGCCATGGTGAATGGTGGAACATCACGATGGCCATGTTGCATGGTGGATGTCACAGTGGCCATGATTCATTGAAGATTTCATAGTGGCCATGATGCATGAGTGATATCCAGGTGGCCAAGTTGCATGGGGGACTTTGATTGATAACGGGGCGCAGGAGCTCACTCAGCAGACTCCCTCGTGGCATCGCGGCGATGACTACAGCCTCAAGCTAAACAAGCGCAGAACCTGCAGATCGCTGTGACATGTAAATGTAGAGTAGTAACTCGGCGGGAGACGACTTCACGGGTAACACACTCTTTTATTCCACCAACTTATAGTTACACGGATGACTAACACCCACTTCGTTACACGGGTGACTAACACCTCACTCAGCTACTCGGGTGACTAACACCCACTCAGCTACCAGGGTGACTAACACCCACTCAGCTACTCGGGTGACTAACACCCACTCAGCTACTCGGGTGACTAACACCCACTTAGCTACTCGGGTGACTAACACCCACTCAGCTATACTGACACGGGCTCTTACGCCCCGTAGCCTTCCGGGACACACCCAGCCGGGGTGCCCGTCTCGGCTCTGGGTACCACCGCCCCGACCCACACGGGCGTCAGACTACGGGTTCCCCAGTCTCGGCTCCGAGCCACACAGGGCCCCGGTCCTCACAAAGACGGCGGGACTAGGGGTCTCGGGCCACTACCTCCTCCACCCCGTCTTCGGTCTTCAACTCGTTAACACTGACCACGAGTGCTCTCGCGCGTCTCCCTTTATGCCCCACCTGCGGACGTCGCTGAGAGCACCCATCTTATCTGACCAATCACTGCGCACTCGCTACGATCCTCTTTTCCCAGCTTGTGTCAGCGCGCCTTACCACCGGCGCGCGCGTCCATACCACGCCCACATTGCGTGCCCAACCCCGTTCCATCACTGTCGGCGCACGTCAACACCACCACTACATCACCCCCTACCACATAGCTCGCAGCCGACCTGGCTGCTAATAAAATATACAACACCCCTTCACCCCTATGTGTGCCCCGTAACATAACAACAAAACCCTAACAACACAACATGAACACCGCAATCTGCAAAACCCAGCAACCGCCACACCCACAACAAGAACAATATGCACAATCCGGCGAGTGGCAACGATAATGTGTATGCGGAAAGAGTAACAATAAAAAAAATTCTTTATTCATTTTCTCTTCTTTTCTCTCCGACTCGTGCAGCGTCCCAATGTGTCCGAGCGTCCCTTGAACGGGACATTACCCCGGCAGAGGGGGGGGACCCGGCGGCGAGGTCGGGTTTTAAACAAAAAAAGAAATTTTTTTTTTTTTCATGAAAAGTGTTGCGTCCTAGCCCGAGTCCGCCTTGCCGGTCCGTCGTACGGCACCAGGCGCGGTTGGCCATCCGGTGGCGCCGGCAGTTCAGGAAGGCATGGGCCAGGCATCGGGGCTCCGCGCGAGCCGCGGGGTTCCGGTTCCCGACGGTCAACAGCCGTCAGGTCCGAGACACCTGGGGGTGGGTCAGGTGGAGACACGTGAGGATCAGCCTGCGACACATCCCTCCCCGAGTCGACGGTCACATCACACGCTCGGTCGTCACGGCACAACCCGGGGTCACGCGGCGCCGCGTAGGGTTTCAGTCGGGAGGGGTGCACGTACCAACGGCGTTTTCCCCATTTAATCTGTATACTCTGGGGTCGTGCAACCCGCACAATTTCCACCGGTCCCCTCCATGGTCTCAACAGTTTGGGGGACGTAGCCAACGGTGCGTGTGGACAATGCAGCCAGGCCTTATCGCCCGGTTCCCAATTGTGCGTATGTACCTTCCGTCCGTGCAATCGCTCGTTCGCGATCTGCCGAGACCGCGAATTCAGTCTCGCAGCCTCCCGCGCTTCAGCCAATTTGGCGATGTTAAACTTGATATGGTCTGCCAATTTAGATTTTTCACGTGGCTGGGAAATCCCCAGTTGGACGTCCATGGCCGGATCGGCCTCCCGCCCATACATCAGAAAAAATGGAGAAAACCCCGTCGCCGCATGAGGTGCCATCCGATAGGCCGCTAGTACCCCCGGTACCTGTAAGTCCCAATCCACCTGGTCGTCGCATACCTGTTGGCACAGCATAGACGTAATCGTCCTGTTCAGACGTTCAACCATACCATCAGTCTGCGGGTGGTACGGGGAGGTACGTACTTTCTTTGTACCCAACAGGTCGCACACCTCGCGCAACAAAACGCTCGAAAAATGTTTCCCTTGATCCGTCAGCAAGCGTTCGGGGGCGCCTTTGTCCAAAACATAACCTTGGACAAAGGCGTCCGCCACTGCCGCAGCCGACTGGTTGGCGAGTGGCCACGCCATGGGCCAGCGGGTGAAGTACTCTACGCCAACCAGCAGGAACTTATTTCCCCGAGGCGTAGCGGGAAAGGGCCCCAAGATGTCCAGCGCGACCAATTCGTTCGTGCGCGAAACCTGAATGGATTGCAGCGGTGGATTAGCCGCTATTGGTGGCGGTTTTCTTTGGGCGCACCCTACACATCCCTTAAGAATGTTCGCCACGTCGTTGCCCATCCCCGGCCAATAGTAGTCTCGCTGAATGAGGGCGAGCGTTTTGTGAAACCCCAGATGCATGAGTCGTTCATGGGCAGCCAGGACGACCCTACCCCGTACAGCAAATGGCACCACAAGCATGTGACGCCGGGACATGTTGTCCCACTTCATCAAGAGGCCCTGTCTGCACACCCAGGAACCGACCCGCGTTTCCCCACCCTCGGGATCGTCAACCTTCCGACGTAGCGCGAGTAGGGAGCTGTCGGCCATTTGCAGACGGCCCCACTCGATGAGAGGCAATGCTAACAGCGAGTCCCTCCCCGTGGGGGCGTCGACCCCCGTAGTATCCGTGGCAGCGAGCACCACTTCCGCGGGGACAGCGACAGAGGGTTTACACCGCGCCGATCCTAACAGACAAGCGCATTCCGTACGCGGCGGCAACCGTGACAATGCATCCGCATTCGAGTGGCGCAACCCCTTGCGGTAAATCGTCGTGAATTGGTAGTCCTGAAGGACCTCCAACCATCGGGACAATTGGCCGGATGGCTGCGCCACCCGCATAGCGTATTGGAGAGCCGCATGGTCCGTGCGAACCGTAAAGTGACGGCCATACAGATACGGCCTGAATTGCTGTATAAAAAACACAATCGCCAGCAATTCACGCCGTGTCACGCAGTAGCGTTGTTCCGCGGGGGACAGAACCCTGCTACCATAGGCGACCACCCGTTCGACCCCCCCGACCACCTGTGAGAGCACTCCCCCGATACCCGTGTTACTGGCATCCGTGTCGAGCACAAACGGTTGCGTGAAATCGGGGTAACACAAGGGGGGAGCCTGCACCAAGGCGTCACGAAGGGAGCAGAACGCGGCCTCCTCCTCTGGCCCCCGGTGAAACCGCACCCCTTTAGCCGTCAAAGCGTGCAGGGGCCTGGCTATGGTGGCAAACTGCTTGACAAAATGACGGTAATAGGAGGCAAATCCTATGAAGCTGCGGACTTCAGTAACAGAGGTCGGCGTTGGCCATGAGCCGACGCATTGCGTCTTAGCAGGGTCCGTCGAGATCCCCGAACGGCTAACGATATGGCCCAAATACCTGACCGATTCCCGAAGCAGAAAACATTTAGCCGGTTTAAATTTTTTAACTTAGCGGAACGCATCCTGAGGAACACTGCTCTCAGTCGCTGGAGGTGCTCCTCAAAAGTCCGGCTGAAAACGATGATATCATCGAGGTAAATCAAACAGGTGTCCCATTGGAGGCCTGACAAAACCAATTCCATGAGCCTCTGGAACGTGGCAGGAGCGGAATGTAAACCCATGGGCAATCGGTTGAACTCAAATAGGCCTCCCGGTGTCCGGAAAGCGGTTTTTGGTTTTGATTCGTCATCGAGGGGCAATTGCCAAAATCCCGAAAGCAAATCGAGCGTCGAAAAAAACTGTGCTCCTGCCAAGGCATCCAGCGACTCATCCATCCTGGGGAGCGGATACGCATCGGCCATTGATATTTTGTTTAGGCGGCGGAAATCGACACAGAACCGCAGGGATCCATCCTGTTTTTTAACCAAGACGATAGGAGCACCCCACGGACTGGAAGAGGGCGCAATGATGTCGGCCGCCAACATGTCATTTACCGCCGACTGCACATGCTCCTTCTCGGCTGGACTGAGCCGGAAGGGATTCTGTCGAATAGGGGCCGCGTCCCCAGTAGCTATGTGGTGGCGCAACAGGTCTGTGCAGCCAATATCGTACTTGTGCCTGCTAAACACGTCAGCGAACTCGAGTAGCAAGCCCCTCAATGCACCCAACTGCACACTGGACAAGGTACTGGACCCGGCACACAACGAGTCCAACCACTCTGTCCCCTCCTCACTTCGGGGATGCGTATCGGCACTTGAATCGGCGTGAGCAACGAGCTGTTCCTCGATGGGTAGCGGCGCGGCGTGAGCCAGCACCGTTCCCTGCGTAATCACGGCCGGCCGCGACCCCGTATTCAGGACCACAACGAACGGCTCACTGTCCCCTCTCACCATGGTCTGGGCCACCGCTAAGTCGAGGTCCCCTTTAGCCCTGTTAGACGGCCCCAACAGAACTCCCTGTGCCCCCGCATCCGCCCCAAGGGGTTTTCTCAACCGAAGGGGTACCAACATTTGCGATCCCGGGGGCACCCGTACAGTCCGGGTTGCCAGCGCCTGCACCGTCGCACAAGCCGTGCGTATCTTATTAGGACTCTTCAAAAACTCAACCTGCCGTCCCGACGGAAGCTCAATGCAGGCCTGGTCTATGAGAATTTTGATGGGCATTTTAGACAGAAAGTCCGTGCCTAGTAAACAAGGAACGGCCAACGATGATGATACAAAAATAGGACCCGCCAATTTAATGTCGCCAATACAAATATTCGCCCGAATCTGGCCGATGATTCCCAAAGA